ATTGTTGCTTATATTGCATATTGCTTTAATATTTAACTGTAACCATTTTAAATGCTCCAAGGTCTAGCTGTAAATTTGTTTTGTGTACAAAGCTTTATGTGCGAATATGTATTTTTATAAATATTCGTAAGTTTCTTTTCTTTTCCGATTCAATGAAGTAGTTGAGAGACGAATTACACCTGATCCGATTAATTTAGTAGCTCTTTTTATTATTGCCTGGTTCACGTTAAATTACCTTCGTGTTTAGCTGTAAATTTTTAATTATCCGAAGGTTTATCTGTATATCTTTTAATTGCATCAAAATTTATGCGGGAATATTAATTTTTACAATTATCAGTATATTTACGTAAGTCTTTGATTCGATTAATTAATCGTCGAGAAATTAATCGGCATCCAAGTTGATTGTTCGAAATGAAATGTGGGATTGAATAACTTCTGAGCTGGAACAGCCACGATCAATGTATATCGCAGCCCGGAAAACGCGCCGGCATCCAATCGATCAATTACATCGTGATTAATTATTCGGGAATCAATCAAAGCCGTTAGAGATTGCCAGCGGTGGTAACGGAACGGAAGATCATGAAAACGATTCGAATTAACGTCTCATCTCCGCACACAGCTCTGGCGAGCACTGCCCGTTTCGTCGCGCTTCGAAATGTATGAGATGAATATCTTAAGTGCAGATATTTTCGGTATGACTAATGTCAGAATCAATTCCCTAACTCCTATGAGATTGGTTCCTCCAACGATAATAAACGATACATCCACCGAGTACTCGCGAGAGGAGAACAAAATTAACATTGATTGGAGCGATTACCGCTGGAGCAGCTATTCCAATGTCAGTCGAGAGTATTCGACAAGCAATCTTACATCGATTCGGGGTGTTTTTATCGTTTATCGAATGATCTGATTTATTCAATAACAAAAAACACTGCTCGGAATCTTTCACCGATGTTCTTCAAGAGTTGTAGGAATTTTTATACTGAAATGAGGACGAAAAATAAAGAATATATATTATAATTT